TTTGACTCCTCATTATCGGTGTCATATATGTATAACTGAGAGAATTTTGGTTTAGCTCCATTTGAGGGTAACAAACTTCCAATTCTATGATAATTTTGATCGCCAAGTCTGAATATGAATGGAGCTTTTCCACTGTTAATGGATGCATCAACTTTCCCACCCATTGAGGTAAATGAGAACATTGAATTGTAACGACGAATGTTGTTAATAAAGTACTTGGATTTAGAATCTGTTGAACGAAAAAGATTTAGGTAACTTGGTGGTGCTTTTTTAGAATTTGGCAACTCAACCTTGCCATAACCACAACATAGTGAAAAACTTGTATTCTGTTTATCTTTTCCTCTAATAGATTCAGCTGTCCATAACTTTGCATTACATATTTGACATACAACATTCTGATCACCATGATCAATGTAATCTGTTTAAAAAAAATCAATGTCAAATATAACAATCTATGTAGCTGTAACCATTGCATAAATTTAAGATAATAATAAATTCAAATAACTTTTTTATTGTGATGGTTACCTTTTGATACACCTTTAGCTATGTTTGCATGGGTATGTTGATCATTAACTTCTCCGTGTATTGTAAAGTCAAACATAGGAATTGCGGATATGTTGGTAGGCTTCCTTTTTAATTTCTAGGTTCGTCTTGTTAAATTATCAGAAGAAGAAGGTTGAATTATAGTCGAGGAGTCGAGGGATTGCATGCCATTGGAAAAGAAAGAGTGATGTCTGTTATTTGATATTGGTGTTTGGATGTTATTACAAGAACTATATATGCCTGTAAAAAAACGTTAAAAGAATTAGACAGTATAATTTTTGGTAGAATTTTTATACACTTAATGAATTACAGAAATAATAAGTGGTAGAAAATTACTCATACTATTGGAAATGTTAGATAATGGTGTTCTAACATTTCGAATTGAAGAAGGAGATTGTAAGCTTCTTTGTTGATATGAAAACAATTTATAGTTACTTGTATTTTCGTTACCAACATTTTTTGAGTTGTTTGAAGGTAGAAAGTTTCCACAAGGATTGCACATTTCTGTTATACAATATAAACATTTGTTAAAAAAATATATAATTATCTATATGAATTCAAGGTATGAAAAGAATATATATATATATATATATATATATATATATATATATATATATATATATATAAGAAATGGAAAATGATTACCGTGTATGTGCATGTTGAAAACATTAGAATTATAATGACTTTGAATAATTGATGCGGTAGAGATTCCTTTGGATTTTCTATTATCCAAATATAACTTTCTAATCTTTCTTCTCTGTCTAGCATAATTATAATAAATGTCCATTCGTTCTATAAAACAAAAGTAACGAAACGATAAGAGATTGATATCTAATTTGTTCATATAATAAAGTCGAAAATAGTAAAAGTTCGATAGTAGGTTGTAAAAAATGACTCATACCATTCGAAATGTTAGATAATGGTGTTCTAACATTTAGAATTAAAGAAGGAGATTGTAAGCTTCTTTGCTGATTTGAGAACGATGTATAGTTGTTTGTATTTTCTTTACGAATATTTTTTGAGCTCGTTGAAGGTAGCGGTTGTCCAGAAAGATTGCACATTTCTGTTATACAATGTAAACATTTGTTAAAAAAATATGTAATTATTTATAAGAAATGAAGGTATGAAAACCGATTACCATCGATGTGCGTTTTGAAAACATCTAAATTATATGGACTTTCAACGGTTGATGCGTTGGAGATTTTTTTGGATTTTCTATTATCCATATATAACTTTCTAATCTTTCTTCTCTCTAGCATAATTATAATACATGCTCATTCGTTCTATAAAACAAAAGTAAGAAAGACGATAATAATATTACAATAAAATTTATTCAAAATATAATGAAAAATATTAAATGTTTGAAGATATATAAAACGATTTATAAATAGTTTTAAGAGATTGATATGTAATTCGTTGGTATAATAATCTTGAAATCAGTAAAAGTTTGATAAAAAAAACTAAATTGATACTATCACCATTCTGTTTCCTGTTTAAAACATGTACGGTTGATGAATTATCCGGGACTGAAGTAGAAAAATAAGTTTTAGATTTTTTTTTATCCAAATATATTTTTCTAAGTCTTCTCTTTTCTTTAGCATGAGTATAGTCCATATTATTCGTTAAATCTGCAAATAAATAAATAAATAAATAAATAACAGTATTTAAATGTTAAAAAAGATTATATATACATGTAAATATGTTATAAGAATATATGGACAGTTAAATAATCATAATAAAAAAAAATTAAATTGGATTATGCAAAACAAATTGTTATTATTATAATTATTTTTGCATATAATATCATATTTGTTAATTAATAACATATATTAATTAATAACATATATGAAGTTCTCATTTTAAAAGTATTAATCTCCATAGTTATAAAAAAAAATGTAAACGTGAATGCACATATTACATATTACATATATTAAATAAATCAGTTTTTCCGTATAGATACAACATTTAGTATTATTATAAAGTTATTATAAAGTTATGTGGCTCACCCAAAACAGATATTGACAAACAAAAAACTCCGACAGTCAAAGAAGAAACCGACGCAAAACGAAGATGTAGAGGGTAGCAAGGGTGGCCGAATGTGAAATCGTTGAGTCGGTTTGTGCTACGCGAATAACAGGGTTCGTAATTGCATACTCGATCCGACTTTTTGTGGTAAAAATTAACAATTAGGTATGAATAATGAGTTTTTTTTTCAACCTAATGTGCTGATTTTGGTTTTCAAAGAGAATGAATAGATAGTATAAAAGAAAGATACCTGGATGGAGGTCGAAATCTGGATAAAAGGTGTTCAAGAATCCCGTACTACTAATCTTGAAAGACGTTTGAAGAAGAGGAATCAAGGTAAAACCTAATTCTCATTTTTTTGAAGAAGATGCAGATATAATTGTTTTAATAGATTGAAGATTTTTTGTTTACCAAACTGTTTAGGTGATTTAAGTTGAATTTCGAAATTTGAAATTTCAGTGTTAATTTGCGTAAATTTCAAAATACAAGATGTGAAATTTTGGTTTTATATTAGATTTCCCGCTTATGTGTTTTATCATGTCTTTTGAAATTAACAAATATGACGAATTTTTCTTGTATAAGTCAGTGTTCATATTAAGGGGTGTATAAAATGTAATAAAAGCAAACAATTATAATTGGGTATAATAACAACTTTAATTATATGTTTGTTTCTTAGGGTTAGGATGCATGTTTGTTTGCATTAGGTTGAGAAGAAACCATCACAGTACAAGTTTAAACAAAAAACTTTGTAGTTCACAAATTTCCATACGTATAGCTTTTTCTTGTTAAGGTATCAAATAAGGTTTTCCTGAGGCTTTAGATAAGGTTTTTCTTGTTAAGTTATTTGTTAGACAAAACAGAAAAAAAAAAAAAAAGTAATTTAAAGACTAAAATACCCCTGTGACCAATTTCTGTGAAACACAACCTTGAAAATGTCACCCATCTGCCCAAATTACCCTCCAGAAAAAACAAAAGTAAAAAAAAAAATAATAAACACAAAAGTAGGATGCTATTATATGCAATAAAAAAATAAAGAAAAACAAAAAAAAAACAAATATGTTTCAAGTTTAAGAAAAATAAAAGGACAAGAGTGATATTTAGTGTTGAACTTTCAAAATCAAATAGCATATATAACAAAACTAAAAACAAAAAAGTAAATTAAAGACTAAAATACCCTTGGGACGATTTAATGTCCAACACAAATTATTAGTTTACTGAGTAATGTGATGTGACTAAAAATCATGAAAATAAACAAAATAGTAAACATAATCGATTCCACTAAAAAAACTTTTAATTTATCTTATAATTAATTACATAAAGTACTTATAAATTATGTATTGATAAATAAGTTATTTGTTAGACAAAACAGGAAAAAAAAAGGAATTTAAAGACTAAAATACCCCTGGGATCAATTTCTGTGAAACACAACCTTGAAAATGTCACCCATCTGTCCAAATTACCCTCCAGGAAAAACAAAAGTAAAAAAAAATAATAATAATAATAAACACAAAAGTAGGATGCTATTATATGCAATAAAAGAATAAAGAAAAACAAAAAAAAACAAATATGTTTCAAGTTTAAGAAAAATAAAAGGACAAGAGTGATATTTAGTACTGGAACTTTCAAAATCAAATAGCATATATAACAAAACTAAAAACAAAAAAGTAAATTAAAGACTAAAATACCCTTGGGACGATTTAATGTCCAACACAAGAGTGGTATTTAGTTAAAAAGAGTTTATCTTCTGCTAAAAAGAGTTTAAAAATATATATGGATTAGTTTATTTGATAAGTTAATAAGTGGTATTTTAATATTTATGAAAAGTTTATTATATTTGTTAAAAAACTAAAAATGATATGAGTTTCTAATATATTAAAAAAAGTGCATGTATCATATCGAATAAACCTTTCTTTTCTTTTCTTCTTTTTTTATATATTAAAAAAAGTGCATGTATTAATCTAAACACTAAAACTTGATTGTTACCATTGTCAAAAGTTATTTTAAATAAACTATCCCAAATGTCCCATCAATATTTTTAAGTTTTGGAGTCGAGCATCCTCTATTGACCATTATCGTTTAATTGATTCCGAGCTGATTGATAAAGTCGATAATTGTAGCATACAATGATAAACTCGATAATTGTAAGAAAGACATAAAATTTGATAACAAACATTTAGGGACACAAATATAGTCATATGAAAAGAAAATTAAAATAGTAGTTAATTTTAATTTTCAAAATACAATGTCAAATTACTTACGAAATGAAAAAAAGAACATTCAATAAAATTAAAAAACAAAACCAAACATAAAAGTCTTAAAATGCATCAATGCAAAAGAGGAGTCAACTGTACTTTTCAAGGTACAACGTCATAATAAGTTATTAACCAAGTTTGAAGAATTATTAAAAACTTCATGAGAAGTTATAAATAAAGCTAAAGCAAAAAATGTTTCAAAAAATGTTTGTCTTGTGATTTTTCAACTTTTGGTATCAAAAGCTTGATCCCCTCTCCAGTTCCGGTTGAAAGACGCAGTGCTTTTGTTGATGACGAATTCGAATACTGTTCCACATCATACACTTCTTCAAACTTGCGTGTTAAATTCATCGAAGTACTTTTTACATTTTCAAAACTTGTTGGTGTCAAAATATTTCCGGTAGACGGTGTAACATTTTCATCCGAATGTGAAACCGAATCCTTATAAAAAAATGAAAACATATTATGTAAAAAATGAAGAAGTATACTTATAATGCATTATATTAGTGTTAAATTATACCTTGGTAAGTATTTTTTTCCTGGGAATTGGAGTCGGATGGTCCATCGTTTAAAGACTCTAAAGTTGCAGGCTATAGATGTGACAATATATGTTTTATATGTCATATACGTGCAAATACTTTAAAATAATAGTAATTGGTATTTTAAATTTGCATAATAAATCCAAATAATAGTAAATGATAACCTGCAACTGAAGTAGCTTTCTCTCCAAACTCTCGATTATTTGCTTTTCCTCCGTTACCCTTGAGATTGTGTAGACACTATTTTGAAATCTCACATTGTATTTTGTGACACTAACTTTAAAAGCTAAATGCTTGTTTTTCAAAAAATTGAGTTCAGGAGGATATATGCCCAAACTGAATCCAAGCTGAAAAAATGGTAAAAATAACTATTACATTTGTAGTCGAACGGTAAAAACAAATAAATTTAAAAATGTATTGGTAATGTACCCTAGTATGTTTTTCTGCTAAATCTTTGGCTGAAATTCCCAAGAGTCCATATGCTTCCCGATCAAACATAGTTAAGATTGTAGAAGCAGAATCGTCTTGAACACAAACTGGAATCATGTATCTAAAAAAGAAAGTTATAACAATTTCAAATTGTTTAATTAAGAAGAGAAAAACATAATTTTTTATTTAAAATTATTTTAAAAAAAAAACCTTGGGATAGGAACTTTAGTAGAGTTGTTGCATTCAACATTTGTACACTTGTAAAGTTTCACATCTTCATTGCAATCCGGAATTTCAACTGCCTTTACATGACAATCGGGACAACTTTGGTAACACCAAGGTTTGTCTTGGCGGATTCCTATTATAGTACCGACAATTATGAACTCTTCAACCTGCTTAAAAAAAACAATGATGTTAAGAAACATAAACATTAATATATAAATATATGTTTGTATAGAAAGTAGGATGCTATTATAATAAGTTTAGTTGATATATAAAAATGAACACAAAACAGAAAACAAAAAAATAAATTAAAGACTAAAATACGTCTGAGACGATTTTATGTCCAACACAACAAATAGCATATATATAAAGATGAACAACAAATTTTTTTTTAAAAAAAAAAATCACTTATATAAAAACTGATCCAAAACAGAAAACAAAAAAGTCATTTTAAGACTAAAATACCCCTGAGATGATTTTCTGTCCAACACAACAAATAGCATATATAATCTATAATAACTTTATTTTATATATAAACATGAACAACAAATTTCAAAAAAAAAAATCACTTTAATAAAAACTGAGCCAAAACAGAAAACAAAAAAGTCATTTAAAGACTAAAATACCCCTGGGATGATTTTCTGTCAAACACAACAAATAGCATATATAATCTATAATATGTTTATTTGATATATAAAGATGAACAACAAAATTAAAAAAAAAAAAAAAAAATAAAAAAATAAAAAAAAAAATCACTTATATAAAAACTGAAAGCCAAAAAATATAATAAAAAAGTGAATTAAACAGTTAAATATCTTTAGGACGATTTTCTGTCAAACACAACCATGAAAATGTCACCCATCTGCCCATTTTGCCCTCCAAAAAAAACAAAACTAATAAAAAAAAACAAAACAAAAAAGTAGGATGCTATTATATGCAAAAGAAAAAATAAACAAAAAAATTGGTTTACCTGGACAGGTTCTTTACTTTTGTAAATTGTCTTAACCTCATTATTTTTTAGGAAATCATCATTGAGTGAAACATGTTTTGTCCGAATCAAGCTGATGGTACCGGATAATTGTGAAGATTCATTATCCTTAGCCAACCTGATTAATATTTAATTATAAGAATATTTTAGTATGATATAATGTCATATAATAAAAAAACAAATGTTTATTATAAAGAAAGTAACCAACTTTTCAATAAGTTAAAAAAATAAACATAAACGAAAGTAACCAACTTTTCTCTAAAGTGTTTGATTTCATCAATATCAGTGTTGATGAAGACAGTTGTGACATCATAGTAACTTGCAACACCGATATACCTATAGACAACATAATAAATGTTATAAAGATATTTATAATTTATAATAAGAAATAAATTGACAATTATTATGTGACAAACCTTTGTAATCATTTATTTTTGCAAACTGCACAATTATAACAACACAATCATCAGTGTTATGAGTGTCAAGATAATCAGAAACTTTGTTGGCAAAATGACCCCATAAAGTGACCTTAAGTAGTACACCACTGAAAAAAAACACAAAATTATAGATTAGGTAATAAAAAATTATAATAAATAACAAATATTCAAAATGAAATTTTTCTAACTCCAAGTTTTTGAGCTCAAGATGGATTCTTTGCTTGTCTTTTTTCTGAGAGGGGATAATAGTAGTACGGGAGACAACCACGCCAATAACATCTATGAAATTCATTGTGGATAAATATAAAATTACTAAATAATGTTAGGTAAAGTATTAAATAATTAGAATTTATTAAATAAATGAAAACGTACCAACAGATCTTTGGGTTGGGATAACCTTGGAATTAATTTTCTGAAAATCAACAAAAGATAATCCAAAAACATTTTTCGGAAAATTAAGACTTTCCTTAAGTTCTGTTTCCCTTATGAAGGTTATTTTATTTGGAAGATCAGAAAAGATGGTAGATTTGGGATGTGGATTGTGTTTTGCAACAGATAGGGTGGTAAATTCATAAACGGATCCCTCACGAAGACTTTTTTCAAACTTATAAAATAAGTTTTGGAAAACATTAGCTTGAATTAGAGATCCCTAAACATTAAAGAAGACAACATTATCAAATTGTAATCATGTAAGATATTTATAAAAAATGAATGGTAAAATGCAATATATTTTTTGGAAAACAATAAGAATATACCTGTTCATCCAATAAAATCATTTCGATGGAGTACTTTTCGTTCTCATTAAATTTAGAATTGAGCATCCATAACTTCAATACTTTGACTTTGATAGTGAAATCCGAATTGACTGGGTCAATGTCTTTTATGAATGTAATATTTGAAGTAGCCATATCTGTAAAAATAATTTGAAAAGTCAATGAAATGACAATAAATTTTACAACTTGTATTTACTTTATCCCCTAAAAATTTAGAAATAGCATATGTAATATATAATAAGCTTACTTTTTATATAAACATGAAAAAAAACCAGTTATATAAAAACTGATAGCCAAAAGAAAAAACTAAAAACTTAATTAAAGACTAATATACCCCTAAGACAATTTTCTAACAAACACAACAAATATCATATATAAGAATATAATAAGTTTATTTGATATATAAATATGAACAACAAAATTCAACAAAAAATTAGTTATGTAAACACTGAGAGCCAAAGAAGAAAACAAATAAGTCAATTATAGAGTAAAATACCCCTGGGACGATTTTATGTCCAACACAATAAATAGCATATATAACCAATAATAAGTTTATTTGATATATAAATAACAAAATTAAAAAAAAACAATCACTTATATAAAAACTGACAGCCAAAATAGAAAACAAAAAAGTAAATTAAAAACTAAAATACCCTTACGATGATTTTCTGTCCAACACAACAAATAACATATATAACAAAACTAAAAAAACAAAATAAAAAAGTAGGATGCTATTATATGCAAAAAATAATAATAATAATAATAATAAAATAAAAATAACTTAAAAATAACATAAAATCACCAAACTAAACTGAAAGATTTTCTGTTTGTTCGGTATGTTATATATAATAATATATAACATATATAAAATATAATAAGTTTACTTGATATATAAAGATGAACAACGAAATTTAAAAAAATCAATTACATAAAAACTGAAAGCCATAAACATTGAGAGCCAAAAAAAATCAAACAGAACCTTCAAAATGTCACCCAAAAGTAGGATGCTATTATATGAAAAAAAAATAAACAAAAACAAAAAAAACAAATATGTTTCAATTTTAAGAAAAATAAAAGGACAAGAGTGATATTTAGTGTTGGAACTTTCAAAATAAAAACAAAAAAGTAAATTAAAGACAAAAATACCCCTGGGACGATTCAATGTCCAACACAAGAGTGGTATTTAGTGCTGGAATTTTCTTTTAGATATTTTCAGGGGATAGTTTACTTGATATAACACATATAAAGTATAATAAGTAATTTAAAGACTAAAATACCCCTGGGACCATTTTCTGTCAAACAGAACCTTCAAAATGTCACCCAAAAGTAGGATGCTATTATATGAAAAAAAAAACAAAAACAAAAACAAAAAAAAAACAAATATGTTTCAATTTTAAGAAAAATAAAAGGACAAGAGTGATATTTAGTGCTGGAACTTTCAAAATCAAATAGCATATATAACAAAACTAAAAACAAAAAAGTAAATTAAAGACTAAAATACCCCTGGGACGATTTAATGTCCAACACAAGAGTGGTATTTAGTGCTGGAACTTTCAAAATCAAATAGCATATATAAGAAAACTAAAAACAAAAAAGTAAATTAAAGACTATAATACCCCTGGGAACATTTTATGTCGAACAAAAACATGAAGATCAAACTTCAAAGAACATCAAATAATATGAAAACACAAATTGCGAATAATCATTTAATTTCAAAAAAAATTAGCAAACATAGCTGCATTGGTTTTAATATATTTTCACAAAATGGTTTTATATTTTCAGTTATGATGATGAACTCACCAGATTTGTTATGTCAACAACGTGCAGAATGCAGATGCAGAAATCGTAATACTGAAGATGAGAATGGATGTTGAAGACAAGAATGCAGAATATAAGCGGAGTTAATATATGAGTAAATTGAAATTCCTGATTTTTTGGGATTCATATAAATATTCAAAACAGTCAAAATAAGATAAGATATGCAGTGAATGAAATTGAACGTACATTGATATTGTTTCCAAAACAACATGGATTTTTTTATTTGAAATTTGAATTTGAATGTTTATATGATCAGAAAATGATAAAGATGAAAAAAAATCGGGTTTTCTCCTAAACTTATGCAGTTTATACGGTTTTTTTAATATTTGTTGTGTTTTATAAAAAATTTTAAATATAGAAAATTTAGAAAATAGGATTTAAATTAAATGGATACATGACACGTGGCAAGTATGCATTGTAGAAAGGGGACATGTGGCCAATTATATGTTTTGTTTATTAGAGGAGGTAGAAGAGATTACCACCATTTTATATTTCATTACTAGACGAATATACGCGCGTTGCACAAAATATTATAATATAATTAATATATGTTACTAAAAAATAATTATATCGATATCATTGACATTGAAATAATATTTTTTTACATTGTCATTACTTTAAATCTACCTCTTCTAATAAATAAAACCCAATTATACCAAATGGTAGTTTTCTAAAACTCTACTTTGCCACATGGCATATTCTGCTTAAGTCTTCATCTATAATTGGTTCCTATAAATCTGGATTTTAAAACCAACAATATATTTTTGTTCCAACTATTTACACCTTTAATGGAGGATTCAAAATTGGAAATTTGAGTTACCCATATTCCACATCTCTACTATTTGTTTCTTCCTCCGTTTCGAGGTATCTCTTCGCATCTTAGCTTTTTGATTCACATGCTTCAAAAATGTATCACCAATACGCTGTCGTCACTTGCACACACCGACTTCAACAAACATAAACAAACCTCCAACATACTACAACCGAACCCTGCTACCATTTTTAGCCCTTTCTCTCTTTAACCTTAAATCGTTGTCGTCGCCTCCCTATACCATCTTCAATGACCTGTCGCCCTCTATTTTCTCTCTAACCCTAAAACTCCTTCAACCACCAGATTCCATCACTATCGTCACTCCCTCTACATCTTGATTCCTATATCACCGTCGTTGATTTTAGATTATGAGGATCTACAATTGGTGTTTAAAAAGTCAGTGTGCAAATTGTTTATTAGAACCAGAACCTGCAATTGATTCTTATTTTCTCATCTTTTAATATTCCTAGTTTCCTTTTTCAGTCCGAATTGGTCACAATTTATTCAGGGCAGATTGTTTTTGTGTATCTAAACCGATTAGATAAGTTGTAAGTTCTATTTTCATTTTACAAACTATCAGTTTGATTATTTAAGTTCATAAATGGGCTGAATGTAGATACTTCCACTTCTTAGATCATCCTAATTTCATTTTACAAACTATTAATTTTTATGTTTTTTGTTTTAAAATATCAAGATTATGAGAAATGGTGTTTAGGAAATTGGCTAAGTGGTAAATGTTTTGTGTGATGTGTGGATTTTAGAAAAATTATGTATGTGATGTTTGTGTGATGTGTTGTTTGCAAGTAAGTTCCTTAAACACCTTCATATTTGAAAGGGTTAATATTTGATTTCACAAAACCATCTTTATTTTTGTACAATTATAACTAGACACATGAATCCTGTTTGCACTCACTGATTGGCTTCATGCATTGATACAATGCAATATAACATATAAGACACATTGATATTAGTTATGACATCTCCATCTCTAATCAGGTAGGTTATGAAATGCCTAAGACATGTCAATTACAATCATATTTGTTTGATTGTTGCAATTATAGGAGGGCGGTTGCAAGTCGGGACTGATACGACTTCTTATAATCAAATTTAAAGTCTGGCCCTCACAATCTAAAGCTAAAGGTGAAATCTTTGACTTAGTATCCTCCTTTTGAAATTATTCCTCATTTTGTTGATTTATTTCGAATGAAGTGGCGACAAAAGAGGCCATGATGAATATTCAAGCATGTGGTGGTCATGGTTTAACAATGCTGATGTAGTGGTGAAGATACATGACTGGGATAGTGGCCACAATTCATTTGGTGCACTGTTGAGGTAGTCTAAGGAGGTTAAATTTCTCATACCAGCAGGTTGATATTAAATTTTTCTATTGATTGACTTCAATAATTATGGGTTTTATCTAAATGAAGAATATGATAAAAGTATCAATATATACATACATTAATCTCAAGTTTTTTTAGTGAAACCTTATAGGGTTCACGTACTTTGTAACTATATTAATATCATTATTTAATAAAGATATGTATGGTAGTATTTTTTTATGGATAATTGTTAAAAAGATACATATGGTACTTTTGTTTTATGGTTAATTATTAAACATTAACTATTAATTTCACATATATTTAGTTTAGTTTCAAACATGTTAATGATTTATTGATTTTGATGCGGTGCCTTAATAGAAGCATCAACTTTACACAGGTTTTCGAAAGGTTTTATCAATTTGATTTTCAGTTTATTTCATGTTTACTAATAAGCATTTTTTATTGTTAGGAACCGGTAAGAAGACTTTCTTTCTATATCTCCTCCGTCTACAACGTGATGATGTTAATGACAATATAGTAACAGTTAACATACTAAATTTTGAAAAAAAAAAAAAAAAAACTTAAGGATTGCAAATCTATTAATAGTGATTACTAATTTTTATAATTTGTATGTTATTTTACTTTGCGAACCGTGGTTTCCACGAATTATAAACTAGTATGGAATAAGATAGATACATATTTAAATTAACTGATCTCAAGAGTGTTTATTCTTGGATAGTATAAAATTTCATCAACTTTTGATTTATTGTATTATTTATTATTATGATAATTAATCAATTTGTATAACAATCTTTTAGAATTATATTATCTTAATGTATATATCCAAACATACTTTTGTTCTCTAACAATTGTAGTTTGATCTATCATTTTTTTCCTCATAAAATATGTAAATAATTACTTTCTTTCATTCACCTACATAAATAAAAATTTACAATCTATATATAAAATTAGTTAACTTTGTAAAAATATTTAATTACACGTTTACATAGAGACAAATGTGAGTAATGAAGTCATTTTACCTAGAGAATATTACACCACCGAAGATACTTCATGTTAACTAAGCATGATCGTCATGCATGTAAGTCGGATTTTAGGTTATCGATTTGATGTTTGTCACTTAACTCAACCGTGTTACTTTTGTTAATCTGCTTTTTGGTTACTCGGGT